GCCCTTTTCATTTTTTTTTTATCATTTGAGTATGTTTTATTTCTACTTCCAGATTTAAACTGTTTGGATTTAGCCTTATGCAGAGCAGTGGATTGAGAAGAATGCAAGTTAATTATGTCTAAAATAATTTTGGTGGGAAAAGGTCCTGAAAGTTCACTGGAAAATGATTTTGGAAATCTTTTGGACACAATGGTTTTCTAAAGGGAAACAAGGACTGTTTGTTATGATGCATGTACAAAGTTAATTCCCACTGGGAAAATGTAGTTCAGTTTCTTTAAGAGAATTGTTTTATCACAAGGCATTCAGCCGGAGTAGGAACTCCCTGCACACATGGACACCGCGGATCCTCCATCGTCTAAAGGTCTGAAGACACTCAGCTGTGATTTATTTTTTCCTAGAAGAAAGAAGCAACAAATGTAGTGTTCCTAATTAATATGATTTAAAACATTGTCAGCTAGCCAAAGCCAAGGTGATTCAAGATTATCTCCAATAAGGCATTTTACTTCTGTATCTCATTTTTAATTCAAGAAAATATGGTCCTTACCCTCAAGAAGTTTATGATCTTTTGAATTGAAATGAAGAGGAGGGGGGAACTCTAGTAAAATGCTACCTTCCTACTGAGCCAAATGGAAACAATCAGGGACATGCAACAAAAAAGATTAATGAGTTGAGGGGATTGACTTATGAGAAAAGATTAGAAGAACTAAATATACATGGCTAGGCTAAATGAGTCCTATGGTAGGAGACATGATAAATAGCCAAATTTATTCCTTTGTAAGGCTTTTGAGACCAAGGACCATCCATACAAGCAAAATGATGTTTATCAATAATATAAACTTTGCAAATTTCTTGCAGCACTTTTAAGTCAGCAACATATACAACCTTGAAATGCCGTGGACAATGCAAATACAATTCATCTCTGCTCTTGTGGAATAATCTATATCGGATTCAGCACAAATTCCTTTTTTAGAAAGTGAATTATTTTGAAAAAATAATTTAAGAAGAGCACTTTGAGGACTTCATGCATTGTTTGGAGCAGAACTAATGAAGAAAATGCAAAAGATTTATTATAAAATGAGTCTGTGCAGTTTATGATAGGAAAAATGCTTAGGAAACTAACTGATATCCAATTCAGGGTCACCTGGGACCCAAGTGTTTAGTGGTTCATTTGAAAAAGTAGTTTATTTAGGTGTTAACGCCTTAAGTCCTGAACCAAGAAAGGTAAAACGACCTATGCAGGCAGGTAACTGTAAGGGAGGCTGAGACTAGTGTTGTTCCTGTTTCCTTAAGACAAAGGGATCCCTCAGTCCGTGCAAACAGGAAAGGTGGTAGAGATGGACTATTTTGGTTCAGTCCTGATTAAGAAGACTGCGCTCATGATTAGCACCTTATCTGAGAGGAAAACTTACTGTGCACTTAAATCACTGAATTAAAGTGCCAAAGGTGGAGGATACTCAAAACAAGGTTTAGTTTCTGTGGTGAGTGATTCAAAAAAGCCTATTAGAACTTTCACTGAAAGAGAAATTTGCTGTAGGGCTAAAGTTAATTTACCTTGTGTCTTCACTTTCCAGAAGAAGTTTGCATGTTATTCTTTTGTTTTTGGTAAAAGAAAATGAAACATCTTCAACAGATAGTTACATTTTTGAAGACTAAAAAAGTCTAATGCTTTTTCAAGGAAACTTGGGGCGTCTATTTAAAATGTCTCTCTCATTGCTCAACAAAATGAAGAAATAACTATCATTGTAATGGAATCTGAGTCCTCCTAAAAATTGTTTTGGCTCTATATTTTCACTGCAGTTTTCTGTATTTTTACTTTAGCTGCTACACTGGGGTAGTGCTGGTGGGAAAATACATTTTTATATGAATATTTATACTTACATATATTACTTATATATATTGCATATATATTTATATATGCATGCCTGGGAACAGACATATTTATTTGATTTTCCATTAAAGAACAAATATAGACATAAGTAACAAGTATCAATGAGCTCTAGAACAACCTTTTATTCATCATATTGTTCCTATAAAATTTCCAGTGAGCGTGCGTGTTTCAGTAATCCACATTTATGTGGTCTTCTCTGCTCTGGTGGTCCTTTAAAGACACATTTTACACAATTAAAAGTAGTATCATAACATCAAATACGTGAAAATTTATCATGAAATACGAAACTATTGTAATATCTACTTTATGGATATGCTTGTTTTGTAAATATATGGTTTGTGGAAGGGTTGGGCAGTTTGGAATAGAATTTCCATGAAAAGGTGTGAATGGTTTCTTTAGGAGATCTGGCTTTGTCTTCATGCTGGTGCGTATGGGCACGTGGAATAGTAATAGTGGGGAGACTGTCATTTCTGGTAATGTTGAGCGTCAGCATTTCAAAGACTGAAAAATATATGAGTAAAATTGTTCTTAATATGTTATCACTGCTGAATGAAAGCTGTCCTGATTTCCCCATTCTTTCCTCTAGGGAGTTATACTTATCTTTCATTCTGTGTCAGGAGAAACTGTCATTTAAGGGCAATTTCTGTTCCTATGCTGGCATATTTCTCTTGTTTATGTTCTTTCTTTTCCCATATGGGAATCTTTTTCAGGGTGTGTGTGTACAGTTTATCCATGCATAAATGACAGCACTAGCTGCTGCTTCCTGTGGGTAGGGGTGGTGTAGAATGGACTGAGGGGAGGGACGAGTCCCTGTAATGTCTGAAGTCAAAGATAATTCTTCTACTCATGTGTTTTGTTTTTCTACTTATAATCTTTCATCCTACATGACTTTTGATGAATGTATTAACTACTATGATTGTGAATAATCAATTCTCCCAGATGACATTAGACAGGTTTGTCAAAAGGATTTTTTTTTCCCCCAATGCTGGGGATTGAATCCAGAACCTTCACATGAACAGGAAAGGGCTCTACCACTGAGCCACATCCCAGCCCTCTCAAAGGATACTCTAAGAATCAATTTTAAAATATTGCAGAACTGAGCAAAATGTCAGTCCCATACTAGCTGATAATCCACACTGTACTGAGATCCTTGAGAGCAGAAGCAAGCCCAGGGTGGAGGAAGCAGCTGGCACCATGGTTCAGCATTCAGGCTATAGCGCCAGACCTCCTCTGTCTACATTCCTCCTGTGGATCCTTTCGGGTGGGGGAACTGGGGCATGTTAGTTTCATCTTCATAGCTCATTTACCCTCTTCTAAAAATAGGAATTATGTCGCTTTCAGAATTAAATGAGTTAATACTAGCTAAGTTCTTAGAATTCTGCCTATACATATTGGTTGTCCAATAAACAGTAGCTATTATGATTTTTAAATGAACTTTCCAGCACCAAGAACAGACTTATCCCATATCAAGTAATCCCACAGTAAGTAAATGTATACAAAGTTGAATAAATACTTGGGTATCCCTTTAATATTTCTCATTGTAAAATTTTACAGCACCTTTTCACTTAATGTATGTCTATGGAAACCATACTATATACAAGTATTTTTTTAAGCACTTCAGAGTTAGAGATCCACAACCCATACTCTCTAAGAAGTCTGTTTTCTTGAGTGAGTTGTCATTCCATTCTAAGAATGAAAGGCAAATATTGCAGTGTAGTGAAAAAGCTCTTAAGTTACAGCTTTATAGGAGAGTAACTTTTCCTCTTTGAAGAAAATAATGAGAGAAGTACAAACAGGAAGATGCGGATGTGTTCTTTGGTTATTTTAATAGATAAATGGAAATATGATCTGTTATTAACATGGGATTTTATATCAAATACAAGACACTTTAAATAGTGCTAAGGTTTTATGATAAGGGAAAGAAGAAAATTCAAGACTAATTCTACCATTTCTGTAGTAATTTAAAAATCTCTTTCAGTATACTACTGAAAACACTGTTTTGGGGGGGAATCACAAGATCTTGGTTCTGGATTCTCTATGTTTTGGATAAATTCATTTTTAAAATATTCAATCAATTAGTTAATTAAATTCATTCATTCAGTCGCTTTTGCTTCAATTGTTGACTGATAATCGACCACTGCAGAATGTGTACTCCTAGGTCCTCCTTGAGTTCTCCAGAGCAGCCTTGCTTTCATAAATTCTATGATGAGGACTAGTTTATCTTTTAAGTTTGTGATGTGTTGTGAACCAGTGCTGCCATAAAACACAATAAGAACAGATTCAAAAAATGAAAACAAGATTCCATAGACACAACAGGACTGCATCAGATTATTGCGAATGTTTCCATGTCTGACTCCTGGGTGCTGTGCCCCTCTGCCACATGCCGGTAGCAAACAGCTCACAGAGCAGCAGTGTGCTTGAGACCACCCCTGGTGGAGCGCTGCCAGGCACATTAGGTGCCATGGTACTGGCTCTCTTTCCCAGGAGATGATTGTGTGATTTTCTCTTCTGCTTCTAATTACAGTTTAGAATTAGCCTGTGGACTTTCCTCTAATACACTTCTTTCTTTCAGTTCTTTATGAAATGTGTCTCTCTCTTGCCGGGTACTCATTGTTCCAGTACACTGATGATACCCAAGACGGCCAGAGCCAAGAACACAGCGAGAGGTGATAGTGCAGGTCCCCACTATCACTTTAGAGTGTCTCTCACTCCTGTCACACCACACTCATCACTCCCACGTTTGTGTTGGTTCACAAACATTTTGGGTGCTCTTACATTTTGCAAGACCCAGTGCCAGGTGCTGTGGACAAGGCAGTTAATATAAGCACATGGTTCCTGTCCTCAAGCTGCTTATGCTCTTAAAAGGGGAAGTGTTAGCCAGGTCCTGTTTTTAATGCATATTTAATGCACTTCATTTTGAAACTCTCCCAGAAGTGGTATAAAGTAAGTGTTAACTTGCTAATTTTATAGAATTAAAAAAGGAAAAAAGTAGATACAAGATTATGCTCATGGCAATATAAATTAGTCTGTACAAAATTCTTGTTAATAATTTTTATAACCTTTAAAAATAATTTGAAACTATTATGTACTAATGTTTTAAATTTTCTTATAGATTACATATTTCCTATGACATGTATCAAGATTTAAGATGACATTTCATTGGGTGTGTCATCTGGATGGAGTTATCCAGACTTGATTCAAAGGTACCAAATATAGACCACCAAATTTCTCGATTTGTAAGCCAAGCCATTTTTGTTAGATAACAAGTGAGTATTGTTAAATAAGTCATTCTAGAAGGGATTCTGTGTGGTAAATCTTGTTAATCCAAGATCTACCTATTATTCTGTGTGTGTGTGTGTGTATGAAAAAAATAGTTATAAAAAACTCATTGTTTTATTTCATATTTAAAAGTGATCCTTCACAATGGGTGATTTCACTTCTCATTTCTATTTGATATCTTTCAAGCATTTACTCACTAAAAGATAATAATTTATAGCATCCTTTATACAAATAAACTGTATTTATGTAAATGTTTCTTTGACAGTTTAGTGTACTATAAAATGGCCAAACTTCATTAGATAAATTTTTGCTTAAGAATTTTATCACGTGTTAAATGATTTTCTAGTTTTATTGAGCTTTGCTTGTTTTGCATCTTTTATATATCTACAAATGGCAAACTTTCAGATACGCTTGATAAATTAACCTCAGATTCACCAGCGATAGATTATGGATCTTTATCTAATTCTCAGCTTATAGAAGATACATGAAGGTATTTGATAAGGACCAGAGAGGTTAGGCCTTTGAGTACCAACTCAACTCATTTGGGGGAGGCTCAAATTTACACTTGCACTTGCATTCTTTTTTCCCCTAAGTACCAGAGAGCAAACCCAGGGCTTTGCATATGCTAGGCAAGTCCTCTATACCACTGAGCTACATCCTCTGTCCTTTTGTTATTATTTTTGTTGTTGTTGTTGTTGTTTGGAATAGGGGATTGAATCCAGGGTGCTTTACTACTGGGCTACATCCCCAACCCTTTTGATTTTTAATTTTGAAACAGGGTCTTGCTGAGTTGCCCAGGGTCTGGTTAAATTGCCAAGATTGGCCTCCAATTTGGAATCCTACATTGCTGATATTACAGGAATGTGCCACCATACCCAGTTTAGTTTGCTTTCTCTCTTTCTTTCTTTTTCTTTTCTTTTCTTTTCTTTTTTTTTTTTTTGAGACAGGGTCTTATTCAGTTGCCCAGACTGGCCTTGAAATTGAAATCATCCTACCTCATCCTCTTGAGTAGCTGGATTACAACAAGTGTCAGCCACCAAAACAGGCTGCTCTCAGGATCTTAAAGATGCCTGTCATTCACATTCATTCAAGAGCAATTGCTCTATATATTTTGGTTGTTTAATCTGGAGAAGAAAACCTGAAAACTCTCCCAAGATGTTAAGAGATGGGTAGGCAGTAGATTTACATATTTAAATAGTAAAGCTTCGCAGATGTAGATAGTTGAAAACACCATAGCCAACTTAAATCCTGTCATTTGGGAATTTGTCCTGTATTTTTAAAGGGTTTTGAGTTTCAAAAAGGGTGTGACAGAGCAGGCTTCTGTGGGCTATGAAACACTTCTGTGCATCTCCTCTTAGCTCTGTGTTCAGTGACTTCATGGTGGTGTGGTAGCTAGACATCAGCTATCCTGGGTATTTCACTGTGAAATTTACAAATGTTACAAATCAGGACCTTCCCCCCACCTTTTTTCTCCTGGAGAGTCAATTGTTAAACATTTATCAGTCCAAAATTGGTTTCAGCTTCAGCCTTATTATGAATGTGGATAATAATGCATGCTGATCATTTTTGCTTGGTTTTAAAATTGATCCCCCAGACACTTTGGAAAGCCCCCTCTCTGCCTAATGTACTATTTTAGTAACAGGAGATATATAAAGATTAATAGAAAGATGAATGTTTTTGAATAGTCAATATTCTGTGAGTAACCAAAGGAGGAAAATTCTTTGCAGAGGTTAAAATGGGGTAATAAGGTAATGATTTTTGAATTATTATTTCCTTATCGTTGGTGTTATGTGTTCTAGAGTGAGTGACATGCCTATTATATTGGCTATACATTAAATAGCTCACCATAGGTCACACAGTAGGTACTATTTTTAAATTACGTACATGGCTGTGTTACATCATATATAACATTGCACTTGTATAGCTTATTAATTAGCACATTACTTGTTAATTTAAACAAGGCTATGGATCTGATAATTCTGGTATGATAGCTTTGGCAACAGAAGACTTCTCTGAGTATCTCCAGGAATTGCTTTGACAGACTAGGGAGATGAAAATTCAGCATGCACACAAACTCAGCTGTTGGTGTTTAAATCAAAATAGATTCCATGGAACCAAGTACAATCAACTTATGTTAACAACCATTTGGGGGCTTTAGAAAACAGGCCACTGATCTAGGGGCTCATTTGTTTGAACACAAAATTCAAGTACAACATCTGGAACTTAGTGAACTAGCACAGTTTATCTTTGAACTTTCAGTTGCACCGCTTCCTCTTCTGGCAGTATACACCAGGGTAGAGGGAATGATTTGTCTATAATCAGAGGTTCTCTCCTAATTAGGGTGGTCAGGCCTGCTACTGCCTATCACATTACAAACTAAGGTAAAATTGCTTTGGGAGTGGAAGTCATGAAAGGATGGGTAGTTACAGGTCATGCACCTCTGGATTCCCTTTAACCTTTCTGAGCAACTAATTCCCTTTGCTGTACTGGACTGTCAATCTGAAGAGCAGCCCAGACTTCCTCTGGGTTCCTTTCACCCACACTTTGCTTATCTGTCTGAGTGGCATTTGTCTGATCTTTCCTTTTGCATGTTTTTACTTTTAAGATCTTCTCTTTCTTATGTAAAAAAGGCAATTAGACTCGTATCTGTTTATTTTAAACAAAATGGCTGTTAATTAGTGTGATCAAAAACCCTGCCATTGTAGACTATGGGCTCCACTTTGTAGTTTCTCTAAATTGAGTATGGTTTGGTGCCAGTTGACATGATAACAACTCAAAGTCTGGCTTTTTAAGCATTAATGAACAAACACATTTATGAGGCTTTGTTTTGTCTGGTTTAGATCTATAGGCTCTGAATGCATCAGAGTTCTTATTTTTTTCTTCTTCTGACTAGTGCTGTTACTTATTAAAAGTGCATAAACTTATTGAAGAACTTTTTGATAATATAACTGATGTGTGAAATCTACACCATTTTCATTTAATTGGTTCATTTGTGGTTTTCTAAGTTGGAGCACAAAGTATATTTACTTATTCCATTAGTGACACATCCTAACATTTTTTATTAAATTATCAATTTATCAGACCTTTAGAAACATCTTAAATTATTAGTCCCTGTCCCCCTCCCCCATTCCCATTTAACATTTACAATTAACAAGCAGATTCTAGGTATTTATTTAATAGAAAACAACTACACGAGCGGGGGTCAGTAGGAGATGATTCAATCTCATACATCTTTAGTGTTTTATAGTGATAATTAATATTCAGAGTAAAGGTGATGGGGGCATTATAATCTTTATTGAAAGATTAGATTATGTTTATTACTTCTAAGGTAGAAAGCCCTGATAAGATATATTAATGTAATTTTTATATGGAGCATTTAGACAAAGATAAATTTCTAATTAGGTAGTTGGGAAAAATCAAACCAGAATTATATATAATTGACCAGAACATCCTGATACTTTAGCATTCTGGTTAAGTGAAGTTTGAAATTTGTAATTTACTTTTCACATTAAAAAATAAGAGGGTGACGAGAGTGTCAGAGGGCCAATGACCTGGGTGTGTGTCTTTAACACTAAAATAAGACAACTATCTTAACCCTAGAAACACTTTGGATTTAAGAAATATGATCATCTGTAAAATCACAGTGCAACTTGGTTTTTCTTTTTTCAGTATTTATTTTTTAGTTGTAGCTGGACACAATACCTTTATTTTATTTATTTTTATGTGGTGCTGAGGATCAAACCCAGGGCCTCGCACATGCTAGGCAAACACTCTACTGCTGAGCCACAATTCTAGCCCTGCAACTTGGTTTCTGATTGACTACACTGAAGAAAAAAAATCTTCTTGTTTGTGAATAGTAATAGATCAAAATACCTGTTTCAAGTTATTCAGAGTCAAAAAAAATCTAATAATAACGATAGCTAGCTACCATTTGTTAAATATTTACAGTACTCCAGGCAGTCTTCTGTGGTTAATAATTAATGGATTCTAGTATTCATGTGTTTAAATTCCACAGTAACTCTGCCAGCTAGACTTGCGCATGCTCACTTTCAGTGGAGGAAACTGAGGCCTGGAGACATTGAGTACCTTGCTGCATTCACTCACCTGGTAGTTGTCCACGGTGAGATCTGAACCCAGAGCATTTTGCTTCCAAGTGCTTTCCATGACACTGTTCCTGAAGATTTGTTATAGAGATTGATTTTAAAAAGTACATTTCCCTATTCTGTGAAGAAATTGGCCACCCTGTTTCCTTATGTTTAACTTTTCCAAGTAAAAAGAGAGTTTCAGTCCCCACCCTCACCCCTTCTAGTTCTCTCACCGATTGGAATCCTTTATTAAACACTCTTATGAATGAAAAGCTGTTCTTAATGGATTTAAGTGTTTTAGTGATCTTTATCACTTATCTTGGAAGGTTGCTGCCTTAATCCGTCCTTACTGTTAAACATTTTTTCTTGGTATTTAGCCTAAATTTACTTCTCTTGATTATACTCATTATTCCTAGTTACCTCCCTTATTGTATGTGTCAGTAATGATCTATCTTTAGCCAACTGGCCTTGTTTACAGTCCTTCCCACAAGATTGAGGCTGATGTTGTAATGATGCTTAGAGATGATATAATATAGATGTGGGTAATTTGGCAATCAAATTCAAAGTACATTCTAAACCTAGAATTAGTAGGAAAGTAATAAGTGGCACTCAGTGTTGGTTTTCTGCATCATCTGTACTTTGGTTTGCATCTAAAGACATCTGTATTTGATGCTTTAAGATTATTCACATACAGTTACTTTATATGGCTTGTAATATTAGAGTATACTAGCTTAATGAATAGCTTAAAAGTTTATTAATTATATATACTTTATTTGATATGACACCACTTTGTTTTTATTATTTTGCACTAAATCAGCATCTCATACAGTATAATCTTTGATCATATTTGCTTATTGCTTCCTGCCCCCAAGTCCTTGATTTCCATTTCCTTTTCAGTAGTA